AGAGAGAAAGATTGGTCCATGGGAGCTAGGACCAAGCACCCTGCCCTGTATTTCTTTTTTTTAAGATTTTATTTATTTGTCAGAAAGAGAGAGACAGCAAGCAGGGGGGGCAGCAGGCAGAGGGAGAAGCACACTCCCCCCCCCACTGAGCAGGGAGCCTCATGTGGGGCTGGATCCCAGGACCCTGGGATCATGACCTGAGCTGAAGGCAGATGCTTAACCAACTGAGCCACTGAGGCATCCTGCTCCCCGCTATTTCACTGGCTAGGGCTAGGAGGGTCTGCAGAAGCAGGGCAGAGGATCTCTGGGAATTTGTGGGGCTGGGAGCTGAGAAGAGGACCCTCTGAGACCCATGGCTTAGTTCTAACCTGTCTTCTCCCCCATCCTTAGGGTATGAGGGACAGAATTTGGGGAAGATCCTCAAGGATTTAGAGATGAGTAAGGTGGTACATATGGATCGATGGTCCGTGGAGGTGATACCTCAACAAACTGAAGAAAAGAGTGACCCAGTCCCCTTTCAAATCATCAATAACTACTTCTCCATTGGTGTGGTCAGTGAAGTGGGGCATGGGGGCTAGGGAGGAAGTATGGGTTCAGCAGCAAGAAGCTAGAGCTGGTTAGAAAGAGGAGGTAGAGGTTAAGGGAGCTGTGACACAGGGAAATGGCGGGTGGGGTACAGTGGTGTGAGTTGCAAGAAAAGAACATGGGACATACTGCTGCCGAATGGGGGAATTAAAGAGAGTATTCTGTGCCGAGAGAGGAGGCAGGCCTCTGATCCTACATGCCCTGAACTCCCCAGGATGCCTCTATTGCTCACCGATTCCACATCATGCGAGAGAAATATCCTGAGAAGTTCAACAGCAGGTGAGGGAGAGGGAGGTGGGGGTGGCCATACACAGTGGGAGGGACCAGGTTGTGGCCAAGTTTGACTCAGAGCACTTAGATGAACCGTGGCACCTCTGAGAAGCCCCTCAACCAAAGCCATCCTCTTCCCTAAAGGACCGGAGTCAGGAGGTTGATGTCCTTCCCTGTCACTTAGCCCTCCTCTGCCAGCACTGTGTAACTTGTCCCCTCCCTCTTGGGCCTTATGTTGGGGCTGACACAGAATGAAGAACAAGCTATGGTACTTCGAATTTGCCACTTCTGAATCCATCTTCTCAACATGCAAAAAGCTGGAGGAGTCTTTGACAGTTGAGGTGGGTGTGATGAGGCCCAACCCTACATGCTTCTCACTTTCTTATATCTTAATCTCTCCCTCCACAGGTGCCCTCAGGAACTTCCCCTATTCTTGAACCTATACTCTGACCTCCCAGCTCTCCATTCCCAATTTCCCGGGTTCTCAATACAACTGGTCCCTATTTCCTGCCATCCTTTGCAAACCCTCAACTCCTGGCCTTCCCAGTTTGTCATCTGGTGGAGGGAGGGGTCGCATCCATGATTATGACAGGAAGTAAGGATTTGTGCTCTCCTCTTCTCAGATCTGTGGGAAACCACTGGATCTGAGCAACCTGTCACTAGAAGGCATCGCAGTGCTGAACATCCCTAGCATGCATGGTGGTTCCAACCTCTGGGGTGATACCAAGAGACCTCATGGAGATACCCATGGGATCAACCAGGCCTTAGGCGCTACAGCTAAAGTCATCACTGACCCAGATATCCTGAAAACCTGTGTACCAGGTGAGCAGCCTTGGGAACTGAGTGGGCAGGACCAAGGGGAAGGTGTTGCTCCCTTTGGAGGCACCCCGCTCCTGCAAAACCTATCTCCTTACTTCCCACCCACAGACCTAAGCGACAAGCGGCTGGAAGTAGTAGGGCTGGAGGGTGCAATTGAGATGGGCCAGATTTATACCAAGCTCAAGAATGCTGGACATCGGCTGGCCAAGTGCTCTGAAATCACCTTCCAGTAAGGAAAACTCTGGCCAGGGGCTCTGAGGGAAGGAGTAGGGCTGGGAGAGCAGAAGGGTCATGGGGATGGTAGGGAGGAGCTGTACTAGGAGATCTTCCTCGGTAACAAAGGGTCTCAAAACCAAGCTAAGAAACAGAGTTTTGGTATTCAGTTGGTAAAGAAATCTCCACCAATCTGCCTTGGCCTCCCACAGCACCACAAAAACCCTCCCCATGCAGATTGATGGAGAACCCTGGATGCAGACACCCTGTACAGTGAGTATTGCCTATGCCTGCCCAAAATGGCACCCTCAGGCTTTGTGAATCCGAAACCTCCCTTCCACAGCTTCCTTACTCCATCCCAATGTCTCACGTTCCCCTGTGCACCATTCCTCCCAAGCCATGATTTCTTAGCCCCGGGCTTCCTGCCATGGCCTCTCTAGGACCCTGGCAACTCCCCCTCACCCCACAGATTTTCCCTCAATCTCTACAGCTCCAGTCCAAAGGGAATGAGGTCCTGCCTCTGAACATGCCCCCTTCCCTTCCAGATCAAGATCACCCACAAGAACCAGATGCCCATGCTCATGGGCCCACCCCCTCGCTCCTCCAATTTCTTTGGCTTCTTATGCTGAGGGGAACACCTCAGCCTCCAAGCCAGCCTTGAACCCACCTCTTCATCCCTGGACTCTACTCCTAGGCTCTGTACATTGCTGCCACACCTCCTACCAGCTCAGGGGAGTGTTCCTCTACCCTCTCAGTATTTATTATCCTGCACCACCTCTACTATTTCCCATGCATACGTGCGTGCGCGCGCGCGCGCACACACACACACACACACACACACACATTGAAAGTGCCTCATCTGAATAAAATGACTTTTTTTCTCCCCACTGGGATATCTGTTAAGTAAATGGTACACCTCCTTCCCATATACCTCCCCTCCTTAAATGACACAGATGCTCCCAACAGCAAGAAAAAAAAAAAAAAACAGCACCAGGTTCTGAGTATTTATTTCAGGTAATGGTAGTCTCCAAGGGAAGACTGGAGGAAAGATAAGCATTGCTGTCCACGCTGGGCAAATCACAGCATCACATGAGATTACTCAGACCTGCTGCTGCCCACTGAGGAGGGGCCTGTTCTCACCAATGGGGCAAGAGCGGAAGACCCGGGGCAGACGCAGCCACTGGGTGCTACCACGTGGCAGCTGGGGAAGGGGGAGGGCTGAGCCCTGCTTCAGAAGTCTTCGCCTGAAATTGGGAGAAGGAGGGAGAAACGGATTAGCAATGGACAAGGGAAGCCTATCTGTGCTTCTCCAAAAAAGGAGGCCCCAGGTTTACTTGACTGTGATCCTAGCTCCCTCCCCTTCTCACCAACAAGATTCATCTTGTCTTGTTTTTATGGTAACCTCTGTCCATTTCCCTCTTACCCTACAAGCGTCTCTGCTTTGAGGACCTTGGCACTCCAGGCCAGAGCATCTGCCCTTCTCACAGGTAGAGGACTCAGGCCACCCAATTTCCTCCACTCTTGATGTTATTATAAACAACAGTCATCAGTATCCTCATTTATTGTACTCCCGCTTTAGGACTGGGTGCCCCTAGGGCGGATATTAGTTTTCCTACTTATCAGAGGCTCAGGGACGTTAAGCTACTTTCCCAAGGTCCCCCCAGCAAGACTGCAGCCCAGGTCTGTTTAACTTCCAAGTCTGGGTTCTTTCCTGGATACCGTGCTTCTTCAAAAGAAGTGGTGGTTCCTTCTCCTCTTGAGGAAGAACGAGTAGTGGTCGTGAGGGATAAGGGGGTGTGAACTAGATGGTGGGGCTCTCACCTGTATACCAGCGATACAAGCACCACAGCCATCAACACCAGCAAGAGGCCCATGAACAGGGGAGCCTGTCCAAGGCCTGCTTCTTGACCTGTGAGCAGAATCCCAGGCACAGCTTCGGTTAGTGTCTGCTCCCTGCCAGATGGCCTCTGCCTATTGCCCCCACCCCCTTCACCCTAACTCTTGTCCAAGTACCTACCAGGCATTACAAGCTGGGTGCTGACCATTGCCAGACTGTTGGCATCAGCCAAAGACACATTGAGGCAGTAGGTCCCTGAGCCACCCTTCAGGACTTGGTGCAAAACCAGCTGGCAGGCTGGGCTGGGCGGCACAGGCTGACAGAGCCGCTGGGCAGGGGGCTGGCACCCTGCTGATGAGATGTCCATGCAGGCTTCCTTGGGCAGCCTGCAAGAGGTGTCAGCTTAGGTCGGGGCGACTGGGAAGGAACAGTAGACACCAGAGGGCAATGCAACAGTCAACCCAAGAGTTCCCAGGAAACCAGTGGGACACTCACCCTCCTTGACAAGACACCGTCAGCTCGAATGCATCCCCTTCGCTGGATGGCACAGCCTGCAGGATCTCAGCACTCTCAATACCCCCTGCAGAGTTGCAAGAGTTTACGTCTGGGATGCCTCTACCAGGCAGGCCTCTCCAAAGGCCCACAGAGAGGAAAACCCTAGGGCTGCATCCCCAATCCCATCCGTGCCTTCAAAATAAAAACCCTGGGATTTGGGTGTTCTTGTCCTGGTGAGTAACTCCTTCCAAGGTATGCTTCCACTGGCCAGCCTTAGGCAGGACACACCTCCCTCCGCCAGCCCCCAAAGCAGTCAAGACTCACGGACAATGTCCAGGGTGAGAGAAAAGGAGCCATATCGATACAGAACACAATCCAGGGGGGTCTGTCGCTTTGCCAGGATTAAGGTAGCTGCGCCATCCAGCAGGGGGTTCTGGGAACCTGGCAGGAGAGGATCGAAGAGGCTGTCAAGAGACAAATGACTCACTGGAAGTAGAGGCCACACAGGCATTTTTCCAGGTAGAGTCAGACCTGCTGGATCCAAGCTTGGAATCAGACAAGACCTGGAAAACCTCATTTTATAGATAAGGAAACTAGAGCCCAGAAGGAAGAATGAGCACCCCAGAGTCACACAGTTAGGAGTAGAGTTGGAGTTTTAAGAAATCCCAAGTGTTTATCACCCCCCACACCGTGCTGGGTCCTGGGCTAGACATGACACAAGTTAACTCATCCCTGTGCCACCATGTCATGCCTACCTCTTCAGTGTTCCTACCACAATTTCAGGTTGACCTGCTTTGGGATAGGAATCCAGGGGTGCGAAATGGTGCCAGAATCTGAGGCAGAATATTATGCATTTATACTTGCACAGAAAATGAGATACAAATATTATGTAAATGACCACGTGCTGTTCCCTGGCCTTCTCCTTAGGGAATAGCTCTCCTCAGAGGCAGAGAAGCAACAAGCTCTTGCTCCATGGCCTAGGGAAAGACCCTGGTTTCCTGAACTGCAGATCTATTCCATGTTATTAAGGGGGACTTGAGGGCTTAAAACTAGTGGGAGCTCTGACGGGCCTCCATTGCTAAGCAAAGGAGTGGGTAACATCTGGGGCCTAGGTAAGGCTTTTAGCTCTTCAGAGTAGTGACAGAGGCCCCACCTCAATGAACCTCATTCACACTGGCCCTCTTACCTGCTATACCTTCTGTAGGCACGAATGGGTTGGCATCTGGACCCTCAGGCTCAGGTGTGGGTACCTTTCCAGTTGTGGGCTCCACCGACTCTTCAGTTGTTACCTGTGCAGCTGTGGTTCCAGAGGGCTCTGCGGTTGAGCCTTCAGGTGTTGTACCTATGGTCTCTGCGAGTGTGGTACCTGTGACCTCTGAGGTTGGCACCTGCTCAGTTGTAGTACCTATGACCTCTGTAGTGGGCATCTGTACAAGCGTAGTGATCTCCGTGGTTGGCATCTGCACAGCTGTGGTTCCAGAGGGCTCTGCAGTTGGCACCTGACCACGTGTCGTACTTACAACTTCTGCAGTAGGCTCTTGCCCAGCTGTGGTGCCGGGGGCCTCTGCGGTTGGCACGTGCCCATCTGTGGTGACTGGAACTGGGGAGGAGCCACAGGAAGGGAGAGGAATGGCAGCCTGCAGCACCACCTGGGCAGTGATTGGGCCAGACTCTAGGTAAGTGTGAGTGACCACAAGTGCCCGAGAGATCAGGGTCCCAGTATGGTCTCCAAAGTCCCAGGTGTAGGAGAGGTCAGCCCCAGACAAATAGCCACTGGGGTCATGGAGCCGGAGGGCAAAGGTCAGAGGATGATTTCTCAGGAAGTGCTTGTTCCCTCCATCCAAGGCCTGCAGCTGGGACACACTCACGGAGAAGGGCACCTGGTCTGGGATCGGAGCCAGAAAAGGTGAGAACCAGACCTGGGCCACAGCTTTTTTCACAGCCACACCCTCCGACTCCAGCTGACTGGCCCTTCACTGGCTCCAAGCCCCACATTCTTCTGCCCATGTCTTCCTGGCTCTGCCCCTTTAAGGTTACACACCATTTCCCCTTTCCCCATTCCTTTTTCCCCTTTCCCCTCTCCCCTTTCCAGTCAGGCCAAGCCTCCCCATCTTCTACCGCCCTGCACCCTTGTGACTGGCTTTGCCCCTTCCTAAATCCTTACCAGTAATGGTGAAGGCTGAGCAGGAGTGAGCAAGGGGCACGTAGCTCTGGGACTCCCGGCGGTGGTAGACAGTCACTTCCATGGTATGTGTGCCCAGCATTGCCTTGCCTGTCACAATGCTCAGCCCCGACACTGGGCCCCCCAGAACTTGCCAGTATTGGCCTGCGGTTTTTGAAAAGAAAAGCAGGGGTGGGGGAGGTACTGATCAAAGGGAACTGAGGGGAAGGATTAGAGACAGGGCACCAGAGAAGGAAGGTCCAGTAATGTACTGAGTATGGTTATTTCAGAGAGTATTTGGAAGGTGGTCCTGTGGGGGTCAGGAAAGGAATCCTGATAAGGGGACCCATGGGATAGGACAATAATTGGGGAAGGGCCCCCAGAAACAATTATAGTAGAGAGAGTTGGAGGGGGCTGGGTGCTATCGAAGAGGAAAGAGCCATGGGGGCAATGAAGATTAAGGAAACTCACAGAGCAAAATGAAAGGGGATCAGGTAGGAAGAGGTAAATCCAAGAGTGGATGACTCACCCCAGGTCTTCCAGACATAAACAAAGCTTCTTGTATGAGACCAAGGGCCAGATGGGCAGGCCCTCCCATCAGGGAAGATGCAGGCATCATCAGGTACCTGGGGATACACTGGCTGTCCTCCCCACACTTGGCTCCCTGAAAGGTAGATACAGTCACCCTCGAAAACTGGCATTCCTTTCTATACACCAAAACCCCTACCATGGCTGCCAGAGAGGGGCTGTGGGAACACTCCTTAGCTACATAGGACATTCCCTTTGTTATCACCCATTTGGGGTGGTAGCGGAAAGGATGGAAACTGGAATTATAGATTAATATGTACTTAATGACAGACAGAGGAAAGAGATTGGAAGGTCATACAGCAACATGTTTAGAGTGGTTTGCTCTAGGTGGTGGGATAAAAACAGTAAGAGTATCAGCTGACACTTATTGAGCCTCACCTTAGCCTAGGGCAGGCATTATGCTAACTTCTTTATATATTATCGCATTTTAATCCTTACAACAACATTCAAGGTAGTCAGCCCATTGTACAGTTAAGGGAATGGAAGGAGAGAACAGTTAAGTCACTTGCCCAGGGTAACATATTATTTACAAATTTAAATCCATGTCTGTCTAAACTCTAGGTCCCCAATTTTGCATACTGTATTTTTTTTTTGCTTTATCTGTGTTTTTAAAATTTTTTCTACAATGAATATTATAGAATATGTATACAATTTGTTTTTTTTTTTAAAAAGTAGGGGCACTAAAAAAAAAAAAAAAGGGGGTGGCTCAGTCCCTAAGCATCTGCCTTTGGCTCAGGTCATGATCCCAGGGTCCTAGGATTGAGCCCCACATCGGGCTCCCTGCTCCGCAGGAAGCCTGCTTCTCCTTCTCCCACTCCCCCTGCTTGTGTTCCCTCTCTCGCTCTCTCTGTCAAATAAATAAATAAAATATTTAGAAAACAAACAAACAAATAAATAAAAAGTAGAGGGGAAGGGGGCACTCCTTGAGCTCACTGGGGACACCAGGGAATCTGAGCCCTTGGAATAAACGCCTGGAGTAGAGAGGTACTCACCATTGACGATGGTGTTGTTGGCCCAGACGACCTGCCCATCTGGCAGCACCTTTTGGCTTTTGGGGAAGTGCAGGGCAATAGAGAAGGAGGCATTTGCCCCAACCAGCGTAGGCCCATCATTACTGACCTTCAAGGACACTTGGCCACCTGGGAAGGACCAGCTGCGTTAGCCGGGACTCCACGGTTTTTCTTCCCCTTATACCTTTCCCCTTCCTATCTTTCCAAGCTACATTCAGCCCAGATCTTGCTCCTCTCTGCACCCCATGCCCTCCCTGGAAATTGCCAAGTTCCCACCTCTCCAGCAGTCAGGCTCCTGGATTTCTGTCCACTCTGGATACAGCTGCCTGTTCCAAGTTTTAGTTGTGCGCTGCCTTGGGACACCACGCCAGTCCTGGTCTCTGGGTCCTAAAAAGAAGGTACCATGAAGGCCCTACGATCACCCCTCAATCTCTTGTCAGGGGATAGCCCTGTTCCATGTCACCCCACTCACTCTCACATTCAAAGTACATTTTAATTTACTGAATAGCCACCATGTACCAGGCACTGTGCTAGGTACAAAGGACTTAAGAAATGAATAAGACATGGCCCTGAAAGGATTCAAGACATGTCCATAAATTACAATAATTCAAGGTACTGTTTAATATGAGCCATAACAGACATGCACAAAGTGCAACAAAATGACTAAAGAGATTAGTTCCACTCTGGTGGATTGGGAAAGACCACTGGAATGAGGAGTTGGCCCGTGGGATAGAGCACTCTGGGCAGAAGGACCAGCATGAGCAGAGGCATGGAGGCATGGTAGCATGAGGCATGATAGGAACTACCAGTGTGGTTGATGCACACTGTAAGAGATGAGGCCAAGAAGACAAGTGAAGGCTCTGAGTGCCAAACAAAGGAGTTTGGCCTTTATTCTGTAGGCAAGGCCACGGCAGGAGATTGTGTTTGTTTCATTGAGATATAATTCATATACCATAAAATTCACCCTTCAGAAGCTTTTTGAATATGACCAGATCTGGGTTTTAGAAGGATCACTATGGCAAGCAGTGTAGAGGATGGATCAGAGGCAGGCAGAGGTTGGGAGTGGGGACCAAGCAGACAAAATTATTATAACTGACCAAGAGAGAGGTCTGAGAAAAAGGGATATGATGGATCTACAGATACGCCTCACCCAGGTACAACAATTATCAACATTTTGCCACATTTGCTTTATCTATCCTTTGTTGTTGTTGTTTGTTTGTTGGCTCAAGTATTTAGAAGCAAATCCCAGACGTCTTGTTATTTTAACCGTACAATTTCAATACATATCCATAAAAAATATGAACATTTTCTTGAATAAGCACAATGTCATTTCACACTGGACAAAATTATCAAACCCAATTCATATAAAATTTCATAAATATCTAAAAATGTCTTCTTGGGGTGCCTGAGTGGCTCAGTCGGTTGAGAGTCTGCCTTGGGCTCAGGTCATGATCTCAGGGTCCTGGGATCGAGCCCCGCATCGGGTTCCCTGCTCGGCGGGAAGCCTGCTTCTCCCTCTCCCACTCCCCCCTGCTTGTGTTCCCTCCCTCACAGTCTCTCTCTCTGTCAATTAAATAAATAAATAAAATCTTTAAAAAAAAATGTCTTCTTATGATTTAAAAAATCAGTATCCAAAAAGTAAGCACAATCTTTTAAGAGGCTCAGGTGGACAGGCATGAACAGAATGTTTCCAGAATACATTAAGGAAATAGTAAAAGAAAAAGACTTGAAACTGCAGCATAAACGAGGGGAAGTCAGATCAACGAGAACTTCCTAGAAATCTGTGAGACCAGGGATCCAGAGAGAGAAAGGGGAGACTGGGACATGATATCTGTAATTTTAGCACAGGAGAAACTATCTTCACTCCTGTAATGTGTACTGGAAACCTAGCTGAGTCTGCTGGGGGTGGGGGTGGGGATCTAGAATCATCTCATTGAGCATCCCACCACTAGAGCAAGAGAATCATAAGATACCCCATTCTTTCTTCACTCCCAACCCTCCCTCCTCAAAGCAGCACGGGACATTCCAGACCCTCTCACCGTCCCCACCCCCACCCCTTGCTCCTGTCACGAGGCCCCAATCCCCCAGAGCCCTTTCATGTGATGCTCAGCTGAGACCCCTCTGCCTGTCTCTTCCAGCCCCAGAACAAAAGCCTGAGCTGTGTTCACCCATCCCCATCCCAAAGAGGGGAGATGGTACCTCCTTTCCTTTTCTATCCAATACCACATTCTCTTACTCCTCACATAAAATACCCTATCCCAAGTACCTGAGTCATTCCCTAAGTCTTCCACTTATTTCCCTTTTGAAGCCCCTTCTCCAGCTCATTGCCCAGGGAGCCTCGGAGTTAGGGCCACAAAGACCCACTATCCTTTTGCCCTTCCAAGCAGATGGAATTATTTTCAAGCTCAGTCCCAAATCTCCACATAGGGAGGGAGCTCAGATGCCCCATGTCCTCGCTAAATCAAATGGGTGAGAGAAGCCTGAAATATTGCCAGTATCTCCCATGAGGAAGGGAAAAACCAGAGCAGGTGTGCAACCCCAAATTCACACTTGTTCATGTCCACACACCCGACGCTCACCTTCTGTGGTCCCCACAGCCAGAAGAGCACCCATCACAGCCACATGGAGAAGGCATTTTCTCAGCACCAGATTCATCTTGTTCTTTCTTCCAGCAACCAAAGGCGCTGGGGGGGCTGGGAGAAGCCCCTATATAGGAGAGGGGTGCTCATTTGCATAGCCCTTCCTCCTCTCCCTCTAGGAGAGGCTTGGGAGGGGCAGGAGGACCGGAGAAAGGCAGACTGACAAGGGATCCTGGTCCCTGGACATCTCGCTACTCAATGACAGTTTCTGGTTTCACTGGGTCACTCCCTTCTTGACTAGGAAATAATTGATTGAAGGTCAGCTACATAACGTGTACCCGACACATATAATTCATCATAGGCTAGTCAATGAGTCTGTTTTTTGAGTCAAACCAGGAAACCTCTCAAAGAGACAAAGGCTCTGCTTCCCAGAACAGAGAGATAGTATAGGATGGACAGAGGCGGGACGAACATCTTCAAGGCCCAAAAAACCCATACAATGAGATTCCTAGCTTCCTGCTTTTCAAGGGAGACTCTCTGGGCCAGGTGGAATTTCAGGGCGAGACACATTTTCCCTAGGGTTGGTGAAACGGCGAATTAGAGATCAGGAAATCCCTACAGATTCAAGACACAGGTAAGAAACTCGACTTCAAATCCAGGTACTTGGAAAAAGACATTTAGCTTCCCCACCGAGACAGAAACTTGTGTTAAGGACCCTCGGAACTAAACTTGCGAGAGGTGGGGTCATTTGCGGCAGCTAGGGGCGCTGGGCTCGCCCCTCCGCTCTGACGTTGACCAATAGGAAGGGCTGGGGGCGGGGCTAGGGAAACGCGGGAAGGAGGGGCGGGGCCTCTGGTGGCGGTAGGGAACTGGAGGGGAGGCGGCAACATTGTTTCAAGTTGGACAAATTGACAAGAGCGAGAGATACACTCCGTTCCATCCCGACCTGGGGCCGCAGAGCTGGGCCCTGTTTCCCCCTCCTCCACCCCGCGAGAGCCGGGGCCCGCCTTTTGCAGGGTTCCCAGGCCCCCGCTCCAGGGCCGGGCTGACCCGACTCGCTAGCGCTTCATGGAGAACTTCCAAAAAGTGGAAAAGATCGGAGAGGGCACGTACGGAGTTGTGTACAAAGCCAAAAACAAGGTGACGGGAGAAGTGGTGGCGCTTAAAAAAATCCGCCTGGACACGTGAGTGGCCTCTGTACCCGGGACTCCTCTAACTCGGGAGCTCCTTGAGTGCCCCCCCCGCCCCCACCCCAACAGACGGGTAGCCGTCCAAGGACCGGAAGGTAGCAGGGAGGGACTACTGAAGTGGAGAGGTGGGTTGGAGGACAGTGAAGGGTTTCCCTGTGGAGAGTATAGGGCACTGTAGAATCTATGGGAAACTTCCTCCCCAAAGCCGAGTGATGCCCCCAAATCTTCAGTCAGGAAGAGGAAGGAGGCCTCTGAGATGGGGTCCAGGACTCCCTGTGGAGTTGGGTTTTGTGGGAACCGGTGAAGAGCACCTTTCTGAATGAAGAGCCCTCCTCACTGCCCCAACCCCACCCTCATCTTAGAATTCTCTACCTCTTTCAAAAGAATGGCAGTTGAACCTCACTGGCCCCTCTAGGGAGGTTGGGTGCTGCTACTCCTATTTTTTCCCTGTTACCTTCTCTCTTCTTCACCTCCACCAGAAGGCTTTACTTACCTACCCCTGGGAAGAGAAGAAATAATGACCTTAATGTATTCAAAAACCACTCCCTGTCCACCCATGAATTAACTCCTACAGCACCCTTTCTCTTTTCTCACTTTCCTAGGGGATGCTGGGGTGGTGTCTCATTGGGAGGAAAAGAATGACGGGCTGGGGGAAAAGGAGTATTTGTAACCACATTCCTATCTCTGCTCTCTCAACCTCTCCAAGTGAGACGGAGGGTGTACCCAGTACTGCTATAAGAGAGATCTCTCTGCTTAAGGAGCTTAACCACCCTAACATTGTCAAGTAAGTATGTATCTGGGAGGTGCTCTGACAGTAAAGGAGGATGTGTTCTGTGTCGCCTGGGTATTACTCTTCCTCACCTCCATTCCTGGACCTCCCTTCCCAGGCTGCTGGATGTCATCCACACAGAAAACAAACTCTACCTGGTTTTTGAGTTTCTGCATCAGGATCTGAAGAAATTTATGGATGCCTCTGCTTTGACTGGCATTCCTCTTCCCCTCATCAAGGTAATCCTTTTCAACAACTCCTCCCCAACATGGGCAAGTTTTGGGGGGACTGAAGGCAGGCAATTCAGACTGAGTGATGATTTGTGATCTTGGCTTCCTTCCCAGCCCTCATCCCCCTACACACACACACACACACACACACACACACCCCTTTGTTTTGTGGCTCTTTCACTGCTCATTATGCTTATTAACCCCTGGGCTGGGCAGGAGAATCAAAGAAGTTGAAACTCTAGTGAGTCAACTTTGTAGCTCCGGTGGAAAGTCAGATGAAACTCAGATAAATGGGACTTGAGGGCACTTGGTAGATTCCTCCAAGAAGCCCTTCCACCTGTTTGGTAGGAGAAATAGCCAGTGAGTCTCTGTTGTCTGTTTTAGGGCTGGGTTCTTTACTCCCCGAGCTACTTTCAATCTACCAACAAACGTTTATTCAGTGCACATTTATTGAGCACCTTCAACGTGCTAGGCACAGGATATGGAAAAGAGGTGCAAAACTGAATAAGACCTAGTTCTTGTCTTCACTGGAAGGGCCTCTCACTCCAATGGGATATACAGCTTATAAACATGTAATTATAATCTAATATAGTAAAAGGCTTTAGTTGAGCCTTGCAGTCAGAGAGTAGACCCTAATAGCTCACTGTGGTAGAGAAACAAAGTCCTCTCTCTTTCCTTTGTCAGAGCTATCTATTCCAGCTGCTTCAGGGCCTAGCCTTCTGCCATTCTCATCGGGTTCTGCACCGAGACCTCAAACCTCAGAATCTGCTTATCAACGCAGAGGGGGCCATCAAGCTAGCAGACTTTGGACTAGCCAGAGCCTTTGGAGTCCCTGTTCGTACTTACACCCATGAGGTGAGACCATCTCTGCATTTCTTCTCTGAACTTCCTGGGAGGTGTTAACAAGGACATTCACAAAATTACTAAACCTATCTGGTCAGCAGTTTCTCTCTCACTAGATGGAAAGTATGTCTGGCTACCCCAAGAGGTTTTAGAGTATGCACCAAGTTCACATTGTGGGGCTAACTGGGCTTTGATAGATACCAAGCCAGGAGAGCTGGATGGCACACCATTAAAATTATGACCACTTGTCTCAAGTTTTCCAGGAAGATTGCAAATTGCGGGTTCAGAAAATATGGTCCTCAGAGTCACGGGCGAGGCTAACTCTGTCTAAGAAGTTTACTGAGGGGAAGTCAGAAAGATGGGAAAGATGAAGGGAGAGAAGCTGCTTGTTAACAGGCTGAGAGTTAGCAGAGTAACACTGAGGAGCTGAGATGTGGGAATCACCATGCCCCATGCACCACCCCTCCCCTTCCTGTTCTTGTCCCCAGGTGGTGACCCTGTGGTACCGAGCACCTGAAATCCTTCTGGGCTGCAAGTACTATTCCACAGCTGTAGATATCTGGAGCCTGGGCTGCATCTTTGCTGAAATGGTACGGAGGCAAGCCCGAGTTCCACCCAGCTCACTCCTCCCCACATTCAAGAACAACACAACTGTTTCTTTGCCTAGACCCATGGCCCTTCTATTATCATAGGGTTTTTTTCTCTAGAGTAGCATCAAGGCAGGTAGGGGGGAAAGGATAGGACTGTTGTCCCTGATGCCAACCACAATGTTAGTATAGCCTCAAATGGCCTTAGCACTCAAAACACATTTCTTACCCCTGAATTGAGCTAAATCATTTCTGCAGCTGTTTTAGCTTTAGTTTGCATATATTTGGGAGAATGAGTACCTGCTATTCAGTGCCTCCTTCATTTGGCCTGTAGACCTTATTGTAGGGTTCCAGGAATATGGTGAAACCAACTGTATTCACCTTATCCATCCATACCTTTTATTTAAACTACAGACTTAAATCATGTCCCCCTCAACTTCTGGCTTTTCAGAATGAAGGATCCCTGAGGCCCAGCCTTTTATGGGAGCTCTCATCCCCTTTAATGTAACAGTGGAGTGGGCTGCATTTTCAAATCAAATCCGCAATTTGTTTTATAGTCCTTTATCTGGGTTGTGACTGGGGGCTTAGAAACCATTAGCCTGTATATAAAATGTGCATTTATCCCCCAGTACATTACCTTACAATTGCCCATATTCCTCTCTCAATTCATCAAAAAATATTTGTTAAGCACCTAGTGTGTACCCAGCACCATGCTAGGTGCTGTGGGGAACACAGAAGAAATGGAAGACACAGTCTCTGCCCGCTGTGCTCCTATCTAGAAGTGGCTGCATCACAAGGAGGGGGGATGACCGCAGTGTCTACCCCACACCCCGTGAGTGGCTTGGGATCCCTTTGCTACATGTCAGTGGCACCCCAGACATTCACCCCCTCCCAGCCCCACCCAGCCTTGGGGATCTGCAAAGGCATGGTTGGGGGAAGGAAGGAGGGGGCGAGGAGACAGATGAAGGGACTTCATTGTCTCAAGCTCTGTGTGACTGACCCCATGAAAGGCCCTGGGGAGGGAGTCATGGGGCCCTGCTGACCTTCCACTGCCTGTGGGAACCTCCATTGCACAGGGAGCAGCTTTGACTGACATCAGTGCGGGTCTTGGCCTTTTCTCTTTCCCCATTTTCAGGTGACCCGCCGGGCCCTATTCCCTGGAGATTCTGAAATTGACCAACTTTTCCGGATCTTTCGGACTCTGGGGACCCCAGATGAAGTGGTTTGGCCAGGAGTTACTTCTATGCCTGATTATAAGCCGAGTTTCCCCAAGTGGGCCCGGCAAGATTTTAGCAAAGTTGTTCCTCCCTTGGATGAAGATGGACGGAGCTTGCTATCGGTGAGAGTTGGGGATGGGCACCCATTTCCTCTTTTACTTCCCCAGGGCAGGTTTTTTTCCAGGATGAAGGAAGGATGAGACCCTGGAATTTGGGTCTTGGCATTTCCCTAGCCCCTGC